AGGAAGGAAGGAAGGAAGGAAGGAAGGAAGGAAGGAAGGAAGGACAGAATGACAGATGATAGTGTCAAGTGACACGCTGAGGAAACCGGTCTGTGGAAAGGTGGTTCGAGATACCAACTCTCACCTCTGAGGTGCTCGGCGCCTCTCCCACAGCCTCGCCATTGGGAAGGGAAGGTTCTTCTTCGGGCGACTTTGTCACCTGCATCGTATAAATGGAAATGTTAGAGAATCTTTTTGAGGACAACCGTTTGCATTGCACCACCATGTAGCTACTGAAGCCATTTTGTCTTCGTTCCCCATCCTGTCTTCACGACAGCACCGTGGCCTCAGTAGGCAGGGCAGTCACACCACTGACGCCTTAGGGACAAGACAATAAGGTAGAAGGTATCACACTGCAAGTGAGCGGCAGGGCCAGGCCTGTGCCTCCCACTGGGCGCTCTTTTGACTAACCAGCAGCTCCCAGTCTAAAATACGACGTTATGTGTAACTACATGAGGTGAACTTGCTGTGGCACTCAGTTCACAACACACACACATTAAATCATCACGTTGCACACTTTAGACTAATCCAGTGTTACATGTCGATCAGATCTCAGTAAAATCGGAACAAATATTAGGTTATTTTTATTATAAAGGCACTTCAAGCTCAGCCATATACACACCCTCCAGCCTCACCCTCCTGTGATAATCAATATTGAAAATTTGACATGTACCTAACTCAATCCTAATACATACATAGAGCTAATTTTTTTGTCAGTTATTTTTGTTTTATGTTTGTGCTTTTTAAAGCAGAAATGGGAACATATTATGCATAACTTGATTTATTTATTTTTACTTACTCTATCATGGGCATTTGTTCAGATGAATTAATGTGGTTCTAATACATTCTTTTTATAACCTGCTTAATACTAAATATATAATAATTTATTCAAATGTTTCCCAATTGCTGGTTTTCAGAAAGTTTACATGTTTATGTCTCTATAAACAAAACTATACTAAACTGAATAAAATGGAGGCGTTTTTAATTAGATTTCTTTCCAAAAAAGGAAATCGCCGGCATTCACATCCCCACAGTAACCTGTGTGTGTCCTTTCCCTTCCTCCTCAGACCAGAAAAGAGAACTGTTCTCCTTCATCTCTGCCAACCCACTCGGGAGAAGGTGGCATTTCCATTTCATTTTCATTTCTATTTTCCTAATTACTGGAAAGAAAGGGCGTATTCTTCATGAGGTTAAGCCACTTATATTTCCTGTTCAGATAACTGCCTTCATATGCTTTGCCCATTTTTACTGAGTTGTCTTTTATAATCAGTTTTAGAGGTTCTTTATATAATAGAAGCTCTAGCCCTTTGTCAGGTTATGAATTTTTTTCCAGTCTACAATTTTTTACAAATGCTGTTGCATATATATTTTTTAAGTTTTTAGCATTTTATATACACAAATTTATCTAACTTTCATTCTCTAAAATGTAGTTCTATTATTTTATATTAGTTATTAACATCTACAGCTTTAATCCATCTGGAATTTAATTTAGCATATAATGTAATGTTTTCTTCCAGATAGGTGGCAAATTATGCCTGAACTATTTATAAGCCATCATTTTTTCTCTTAATATGCTATTCTATTTATAAAAATGGGCATATTTATTAGTTCCTATGCCAATATACTACTTTTATCACTGTAGTTTTTAACATGAATTTTATTACTCAGAAAGGCAATTTGCTACAAGTCTTTTTCAACATTTTCTTGGCTCTTCTCAGACATTTATTATTCCAATAAATGTTAAGATCATTTTTTTCAAGTGTGAAAATGTTTTAAATAGACTTTTGACTGAAACAGCACTAAGTATATTAGTTTAGAAATTTTCACTTCTTAGTGTTGTCATCCTACCTAGGAAAATCATAGGTTTCTCTATTGCTTTAATATTTGCTGGTGTCCTTTAGAATAAAGTTAAATTATATGCATCATATAGGCCTTATATGCTTCTTGAAAAATTTATTCCTAAACATTTTAGAGACTTTTATCACTATTGTAAATGAGATGTTTGTTTTTAAATTTGAACTTCCTACTTGTTGTTGATGATATAAATAAAAGCTAATAATTTTTGTATATTTTTCTTTAATCCAGAAACTTAATAAGCTATCTTATTAATTCTAACAGATTTTATTGGAGTTTCTTGAGATTTCTATGCATACAATTACATCATATACAAATAAAGATAATTTTTAAATTTTATATATATTATATATACATGAAACATATTTATTTTATTTTTATTTTTTAAATTTATCTTTATTGTTGAAAATATATTTATTTTCTTACATTATTGCAATAACTACAGCTTCTAAAACAATGTTTAATATTGTGACAATAACAGACATACCTATCTTGCTTCTAATTTTAATAGAAATGCGTCAATATTTCATGGTTCATTATGATGCTTCTTTTGATAATTGGTTTATAAAATGTAATCTGTTTCCTTCTATTTATATTTTAACCTATTTTATTTTAACTAGGAATATCTGATGAATCGTATCAAATATCTTCTTAATAAATCATAACAATGTAGTAGATTCTGCTTTTGTAAGTTGAAATGAAATGTTTGTAAATAATATTCCCTCTGCCTGACCCCTCCAGAATTTAAAAATTCTTACTCAATCCTTTTACTTTTTATGGAAGTATGGTTATTTGCCTGGCTCAGTGAGAATCCGTGTTCCTTATTACCAGGGCATAACTGGAAACTGGTTACGCAACCACGGCTTTGGCTGGAGCGTAGGATTAAGAACGATGCTCAGGTAATGAGATGTGACCAGATTCTTGTAAAGAACGAAGGCGGGCTTCACGGAGACAAAGCGCACTTACCAAGCCCTCCTGGGGAAACTGGCCTGGCAGTTGTTCTGTCACAGCCTGCCCAAGACAAGAGAAGCTTCCTAAAAGCAAGAACGCTGCTTATGGAGCTTACTATCCTTGTATAAGCATGCATTTCTATATAATTGTTGGGAGTGTCTATTTTTAGCCTTAGCACAAGATTAATTTCCTTGCTGACTTCTCCACAATGTTGTTTACTACAAAAAGACACCATGACAATTGATGATTTATGGAGATGATACTTTATCATCTCCATAAATCATCGTGTCTGTCTTCCCAAAGGAAACTTGAAGGACTTTCCCATGTGCTCACATAAACACCTATAAACCCAAACAACACTGACAACAAACACCAAAGGCTCTAGCACAGACTGTGCTGCTAATTGTCAGAGTAACTTTGTGCAAACCAGCTCAGCTCCTCGGGCTTCCAGCCCCTCCTCTGGGAAGAGAAGAGCCGGGACTGGGCGGCCTCCTGGGTCTCCCAAGGCCGGGTTTACCTATCCTTCCATGGCCATCCCTTTCTCCCCCTGAGTTAAGGAGAACTTCGTGCAAGATGACAGCACCTAGTTACAAGTCAGGGCGGGATCTAAAACCTGAGGTTCAATATTTTTAAATGGGAAAAGATGAAACAGCAGAAGCTGAAATAGATTTACATATATTAGTATGGATACATCTCAAAATAATGTTGTTTTTTTAAAAAGCAAGTTATAGAACATTCCAAAAAGTATGATACCAATTTGGCATCAAAAATACAAACAACATATGTAGTGCTGGTGGAGAAAATTATATAGTTTTATAAATAGTTGGGTTTTTTTAATCCATGATGTTGGTGGCTCCCAAGGAGGGAGGGAAACAGGGTTGGGGAGAGAAAAATGTGACCTTATAGTTTCTCTGTAATGACCGCCCCTCCTAAATTAGCGGGTTTATTCTCTACAGAAGTTAAACCAGAGGGGATCTGACTTCCCGGTCATGAGGCAGCTGAAGTGGGAGAACATACCCAGGACAAGGGGAATAAATGAGAAGTTCACATGTTAGAAGGAAAGACTCTCCTTTCCCCTTCCCCACCTACTCCAGAACACTGGCAGCCAGATTTACTCTCCATTTACCACCACCCTTATAACCATCACCATCACCACCACCACCGCCATCACCATCTTCAACACCACCACCATCACCACCATCACCACCACCACCACCATCACCACCACCACCACCGCCATCACCACCACCGCCATCACCACCACCACCATCACCACCACCACCATCGCCATCACCACCACCACCCCAGAGGCGGAGGATTCCTCTCTGGAGAAGCTCACCTAAACCAACAGAAAAATCCCACAGTCCAGGACTCTTGACAAAAAGTCACCTCAATGTCACTACCTGAAGACTGCTGACATATGAAAGGCACATGCCTCTGAGGCAAGCCCATGTCTACAAGGTAGGATTTTGAGTGGTTTCTCCTATAGTGAGAATTAATTTGTGCTCAGTCATCACAAATATCTTTAGAAATGAAGCTGGGTACAAACAAATAAATGAATTAAGAAATAAATGTCTTGTATCTATAGGGAGTCCTGTATGAGATTCTTGGAAGAGGTAAGGAATGCAGTGGCCATTGCATATAGTGAAGCCAGGTGATGTCATTAGAGGAATTCATGATATTAGCTTTAGTAGCATAATTCTTTTTTTTATTGTTCAAAATATTACAGATGTCCCTTTCTCTCCCCATTGACCCCTTCCACCCCACCCCACCCTCCTCCCCAGCCCCTCGCCACACCATTGTCTGTGTCCTTGAGTTGTGCATATATACATATAAATTCTTTGGTTAATCTCTCCCCCTCCACTCCACCACCCCCTCCTTCCCTCTGAGATTCGTCAGTCTGATCCATGCTTCCATGTCACTGAATCTATTCTGTTCATCAGTTTATTAAGTTATGTAGATTCCACATATAAGTGAGATCGTAGCATAATTCTTTATTTAATAGACATAATTATACATAATCAAAGATGAAACAGCAGCAGAGGGGGGAAAACTAATGAAATTTATCTTGCTCTTGAATCTAGATCTTACTCTTTCCCTCTTTGTCAGACTTAAAAAGCAGAGTTTAATTTATTTTAAATAGAAAGAATTAAAATAGGGGATGTATAATAAAATTAACTAACATAAGCTATGAGAAGTCATTTCATAACAAAATTTTATGAACACAACTTGAGAATTCATATTTTTACATATTTAATTTAGCACAGTTAAGACTATTGAATGCAATGATATTTTTTTAAAGTATTGTAAAACTTTATTTTATTTTATTATTTCTTTTTCTTATATAACAAAGTATAATGAAACAAAATATGAAAAGCATAGCTTTGGAACATGTGTTAGTAAAACCTTGCATTGTCTCTATGCATAAGATTTCACCAGAATAAGGGGTGTACTGACATCGTGTTAATTTAAATACTCTCATTTATTAAACAGTCTTGGATGCTGACTTCTAGCTTCACTTACTATGACTTGTATTGGGCCCCCATGGGGTGTTCAAGCTTACCTTGGAGCCCGGAGGGGGAGCCAAACCAAGGAATGAATAAATAATATTCTCTTCTTTTGCAGAAAAGAAAGAATCAAAGTCCTTGAAGCAAAGAAAAAGAATGTTTAAACCCACCGCACACTGTGAGCCAGGACGCTTACCGCAGCTGATCTCTTTTTCTTTTAATTTGTCATTAATTTAGGAGCTAACACAAAAGGTTACGCCAGTTTGCTCTGCCAAAGACGGCTAATCCCCAGAGGTGAGGAACCTGTGCATGCCTGCCTCTCCGCTGAACGGTCCAGGGACCCTTCGCTGGTGCTCAGGCCGACAGGCGCCTCGGCTCTTACCTGGGCTCAGGTGCACAGGCTCCAGTGGGGCGGCGACAGCCCTGCCTCTCCTCCCCCGGCCTCCCCCGCGCCCGCCTCCCCAGCTCGTGTGTCCTCGCTCTAGCTGACAGCCGCTGCCCTGCCCGCAGGATAGCCCCTTCGCCGGCGCCGCACAGGGCAGCGGGAGTTCACAGCTGCCCCTGCCATCCAGTCCTCTCGTGGCCCTGGCGCAGAGAAACCCACTGCTTGTCCCTGGGCTTCCTCTACCTGCTGCCACCAGCAGTTTTGTGTAGGAAGAAGAGAAAGGGTGACCTAAGATGCCTCTATCCGGCTCTGGCCTTGATCAGCTCCTCTCGTTTCCAGAGCCCCGATCGCCGCGTCTGAAACGGGCCCTGGAAGGCCCTGGCGGGAGGGGCTCAGTGGTTGGAGCATCTTCCCAGACACCGAAAGGCTGATTCCCAATCAGGGCACATGCCTAGGCTGCGGGTTTGACTGGGGACCATACACTGATTGATGTTTCTCTCTCTCTCAAATCAGTAAAGCATGTCCTGGGGTTAGGATTAAAAATACAAGGGGGGGGTGGAT